ATTGCCCACAGAATATATGTTCAAATTTTTGTACATTTATTTGCTATAGTTTATGAGTAATTAGCGAGAAACCAATCTTTCATTCCTTTTGAAAAACAGAGGTGTTCTCAGGTCCCTGTGGAGCTGTAGGCGTGTCCTTCAACCGCTTTAGTCCATTTTCAATACCAGATCACGTGCAAGAAATAGCAAAGCTTATGCCAAATTTGAGCCCGATATCTTCATTTTTACGACCACTAACAAACACCACTCAGACACAGAAACGGACAGACATGGCTTAATGAAATTCGAATTTCACACTGATCAAGAGTATATATATTATCAAAAAAAACAATTCAAATGGGTATACCCTCATCCTTCTCTGGTCGGTATAAAAAAGTACATACAATCGAATATAACTTTTCTTTTATGTCATTTCTAATTCGTATCTCTGGGCGAACCGGAAATGCTTTTAAATTCTTAAGGACTAGACTACTAAGTATCGCATTAACAAAAATGTATTTATATTTCAGTTAATAATTAGTAAGCGCAGTGTAATATTAGATAATACACACAAAAAAAAAAAGAAAATAAATAATAAGCGATAAGCAAAGAGGGAAATAATACTATATAGTGTTTACTCAACATTAACTTTCTTCTTTCTTTCTTTTCATGATTTCTATTTCAAACGTTTATCAGAATAAATTCCAAATGAATTTAATAAAAAAGACTGTTTCGTTTCCTCTTATAGCTGAGGAACTTGTCTTCAATATTATCAAACATTCATGGTAACCAACTGATACTTTTCAAGTGATAACCACAATGGCTCATGTGTCAAGTACAATTTTTGTCATATACGCACAACTCAGAGAATATAAATATACTTCTTTCGTTATCCCGTTTGTACAATTTGTAAATTATCATTAAATACTTTATAAAATTTATTGCTGAAAAATATTTTTTAGTTGGTGTATATATTGTCTTGAATACATAATAAGTTCGTTTGCGTCAATTTTTCGAAATTTATGAAATGCGTGCAGACTTACATTCAAAAGCACATAAACGGTATAAATTAAATTCTATTTTCTATTATCGATTAAGTGAAACGCTCGCCCAATAAATGGAAAGTTTTTAAAGTCGCTAAGACCCCTCCTCCTATTTTTCTTTAGCTCTAAAAGCTTTACTGGAATATAAAAAAATTTGCAAGATATTTCATTAGCTAATGCACTTCACTCATGCTGCTGTAAGCTTCGTACTATCATAGTTCTTGTGACCAGGTACATACTGCAGACCTATGAAGGATAACCACCGTATATACTTATTCTCCTTCTCCAATGTGAAAATATTATATACTTTTCGATGAGAGTTATAATATTCAAAATTAATCGAAAATGAAAGCATAACATTAACCCAAATGATTTTTTTTCCATATCATTATTTAACTAAAGTCTGGATGCTCTCTTGAACATTCAGGAATAGTAGTATGCACCAAAAGCTTTAAGAAAATTAAAGTCTTATGTGACTCGAAAATTAGATTTTTTTAATAAAATCACAACATTCTTGAATAACATCTATTTCCCAAATGTGTTTATTAAGACCTTTTTGAATTTTTGAGCTTAAAACAAACAAATCCATTATAAACCCTGTAAAGTTCTAGTACTTTTTGATTATATGAAAACGCCTTTAATGACCTGTAATAAACTTTTGTGAAATACTGCACCTACTACTACCGCTATAAACCAGCTTGACCCATCACTTATGCAAAACTGCTGCAATCGCAAAATTGAAGATAAGAAGCTAAGATCTGCCATAAACATTCCCTGAACTAATAAAAATGTGCAATTAAAAAATGGGAGTGATCTATTCGTATGACCGTTATATAGGAGAAACTAAAAAAATCTGGGAAAAAAGCCGATGTTTTCGTCGATAAAATTCGATTTCGTAAAGGTATTTCCAAAAGACTTTGGTTACTTTCATATTCAGTTAAAAAAAGTTTCATAGACAGCTGCAGTTGATGATAAAGTTTGGATTCCAGTTCATTTCCAATTTATTTCTCATAATCTAACACACATTATCATTTTCTCTACCCATGCGTCAGTTGAAATTTTTGGCCAATCGATCGGGAATCGCAATATGGCGACATTACAGTAAAAAAGATGCTACAAAATAGGGGGCCACTTTATAGTTCTCGGTATCGGAAATGTACGCGATCGGACGGTCATTCTCGTTAAAAACGTTTTATGAGTTTATACAAAAATTGACTACGATCGAATCGAAAAAAGTATGTCAATCGAAGCAAAAGTCACGGAATATTTTGTGATGTCATTAGTTTGTGAATAGCAAATAAATGAAATGAAGAGGAAGAGGAAGAACATAAACAATGAAAAGAAGAAAAACAATAATCGAAACAAGTTACTTTAATTTATCTAAATATATATAGACTAAAGCCAGTAAGCACATTTAAAAGTTTAACTTAATTGTGCAAAAAATACAAAGAAATAAATAATTTAATATCGCGTATCGAAGAACCACGAGTTATGCCGTTTCCCTTCACGTTCTAACTTTTATAATGTAATTACGCAGGTGATTCAGATTATTCTTTGCAGCTTGTAGGAACGCGTTCAACGGATCAAGTAAATTGGCATTTAACGAAGCACATCTCAAGCGTCGCTCAGTAGTAGAACGGACAGCAGGCATTTCAAACGGAAAATGGAAACTTTAATGAAATGAAATAAGAAGCCGTTACTCCTACCTTATAAAAATCGCAGTATTTGCAAATGCTTGTGTTTCTTTACACAACATTGTGTGGGGAAATAATTAGAAATGGAGAAACAAGCAAGGTTTAATAAATTAAAATGAGTACATCATTCTATATTTAAGTGTTTTGACTAATTTTTCCTTAATGTGTTTTGGAGGAGCTGATGGTCTTTTCTCCTTCCATATAACTGAAGCGTCAATACTGAACACAGTTTGACACTACTTGAAAGTTAGGTTAGCATAACCTTTTAGTCCTCTTCTCAATCTTCCGCACACATTTTTTTGTTAATTTCCTTTTGATAATATCTTTTCACTTTACGTTATCAGAAGATAAAACCTTCGAAAATATCTGTTTGCTCTTTCCTAACATATTGGAATTTTGACATTAATGAAGTTAAGTATTCTATTAATTGTACTTTCCGCGATTTTTCAATTTTCTAGTCGATAGTAAAAATCAATCGAATACCCTAAACTCACTATCAGATAATTCGACTCGATAACCAACAACAATAAATCCGATCGAGTTTACTCAATTCCATAAATCGGTTCCAGTTTTGTTTCCTTGTTTTTTACGAGAGCTGCTGATCTGTCCATTGTAGCAGGTGAAGTAGGCATGGTGCTTTCAACTTCGTTGTTTTCCAAAATTATGTAGTACGCGATCACAAGGAAATCAAATGCAACTTTCAATACAATGAGCAATAGCTGAAAGTATTAGTACCGTAAAAGATTAAGCTCAAGTCCTATTGCTTTTGAAAGTTGTAAATATATGCATACACAGTCGAGAAAAAGCTTAGCGCGCTTTGCCATAGCTAACAACAAGGAAGAAATTATATTCGATTCACAAAACATATAACGGAAAAAACAAAACAAAAAATTGTTTTTTCTTTATTCCCAAAAAAATAACAAAGGCTGAATAAGATTTCTGGCCTTATAACTGTTCGCCCGGCCTATGAATTTCTCCAGCCAAACGAAATCATCGCTAGAAGACACTTTTCACAAGCGATGCAATAAGTCGGAAAACGGGCCCAATATATAAACTATCATGGTGTGATAATTCAGTACGTTGACGTTGGCCTACTTGTGGCATTAAGCGCCTAGCAAGCATTAGTAGTATTAAACGGAAAGAAGCTATCTTCTCCGTTGCATACACCTTACGGTACTGTTTCTAACTATGGATGGTTTCGATCGATCGATTATTTTCTAAACACTTCTTCGATTACTTTAGAAATCAAAAATGAGTTCTTTAATGAGATCCTCCAAAGAATGATTGGCATTTCGGTGAGGAATTGATATTCAATCCAACGAAGGACATTAGCTTAAATGAAACATTTTTTTTAACCGTTTTTCTGATGTAGTCACATGTTTTTCGTTAAAGAACTAATAAGTAATTATTTCTACATATGCACAAACTTTAAACCAATTTTTAAAAACGGGATTTAATGACCACGAAAACCCCCATTAAAACAAAAGCATAACATCAAAACATATTCTAAAAGAAGCCAATTTTTAAAGAAAAAACAAAAAGAAAATAAGTAAAGTATAACACCAGCAAGCAAATGGTATTTCAAACACGAAAATATTTTGTATACACGAATGTGCATCCATGTACATAAATAGTCAATCAGTCAATATGGCAAATAGGTAAAATCGTGGAAAAAAAAAAAGAGTGCAATGATAATCTATACAACAATAACAAAAAAATACATAAATATATGTATATACGTACAGCGCTTACACAAAAACATTTACAAAAACAAAAAACGGACAGTAAAACCAAAAATATGCGATATTTTATTTCATGAATGAATGAGAAAAGAGTAACGGAATGAACATAAAACGACAATAGGTAGGAACAAAAAGAGAAAGGCACATGAGCGTAAGTGAGAAAATGCAAAAATAAAATAAACCGTAATAAAAACCAATGTAAGAAAAACTAAGAGATATGCAGAAAAAGCACGCCGTAGAAGACAAAGGAAAAGAATAGAAGAATTAAATGAAAATGTATAAATATTATAAAAAATACTTATAAAAGGAATGAAATTAATCTGCAATATGAGGTTTGCATAAGATAAAAAAATTGAAAAAAAGTTTATGACGAGTAACAAAAAGAAAATATGATTTTTTTTTACGATATTATACAATTTCTTTTTTTTCTAGGATTTCAATCATTATTGCCAAACGACGAAAATGCCTTTAAAGAAAATGGTTTTAAAGTACAAATTTAAACATGAGAATAAACGATGAGAAAATAAAATGGTATTACAAACCCAAATAGTATTCCATTTTGTCGTTGTCTTTTATTTAATTTAATTAATTAAGAAAAAATATATATATATATTTGTTTTGATTTGATAAACAATTGTTGCAAATAATCCCGAAATTGAGGGAAGAAATAACAAACGTTGTATGCGTAGAAAACGTTGTGAAATTTTCGCGAAGTTGAAAATGCTTTTGAACTTAGATCTCTCCACTCTTACAATACGGAAAATTACTCCCGTTGGATGATCGATGACAGCAGGCGTATGTACGCTCGACGTACATATCCTTTTGTTTTACAATATAACGTGATTTTTTTTATTAAGCGTATTTTTCTTTCTCTTATAATATACTTTGCACAGTAATTTAACTAAAAATATAAAACAATTATACCATAATCTTTACAAGTTGTCGTTTTTTTTTTTCTTCGTACGGAGATTTCTATTTCATGTTTTAATCAATTATATTTATATCATCAGGAAGTAAATCTTTACAAAATTCTTTGATTCACGTTATATATAAAGTAATATTAATTTATTAATATTCATTAGTTTTTTCACTTTATTTTTTTTTCTGGGTCTATCGACTGTGCATTAGCAAATTTTCCGAATTGTTTTCTTTGTTTCTTTGATTCACAGCTCTTCTTTTACATTATTTTTATATATTTTTCTTTCTCTTTTTACTTTAAAATATTATTTATTCGAATTTTTTTGCACATTTTCCTTTCTTTATGGCTCAGTCAGTCAGTCAGTCAGGCATACACATAACAGATACACGCTTAAACGCATACACTCGCACAGGCACACGCATACACACACAATTAAAGGCCGTAAAAGAAGCAGGAATTATAATTGAACGTTGTTCTCCTTCTTTGCTATTTCCACTGCTCTTCTTGAATTTGAGCAGAAAAAATTTTTTCTTCATACAACTTGCAAATTCACCACCACTACCTTTTTTATTACAAAAAAAAAAAAAAAGAATTTTTTTCTGTCCTCTACTCAATTTACATCACATTAGAAAAATAGTTTTATCTTTTAGTCACCCAAAACACAACTATGCGTTTGCATTTATCATTTGCAGTCGTTTTACTTTGGGAAATATGCAAATTTGCCAAATTAAAAAATATATTTTCATTTTTTCACAAGAAAATTTCCAAAAAGATTTCTTTATAACCATTAAATAAATTTTAGTCGTCACCGTTCAACTTTCGCCCCGTTTTTAATATCAATTGTTCTCGCTTATTTTGTTCACAGTCAGTTTGAAACGCTATGGCAATGCAATAGATAAACGAGTTGCCACCGTTTGCTTACAATTCACGAGTTATCGCAATAATGGATTTAAGAAAAGTGTAAGTCTTCGAAAAGTTGATTTTGGGACTTCCCGGTGAAACTATTGTTCATAGTTATTACTAAAAAAATAATTCATTTATATCTGTCCCTTTTAAATTAACTTTTATACTCATATATACATCATATCCGTCAGATTTGGTGAATAATGTACATATTTGTATGTATTTGTATTTGCCTGTATATGTTGTCAAAATCGACTTTATAATATTGCCCACTTAGTATAATAATAATAATAATTAATTTCCGGTCATATTTATTATTATACCACTATATATTATATTTTTATTATCATATATATATTTATTATTTATTTATCGTCATGTTGCGTTCGAAAATCACCAAAACGGTTCGAAAGGTGTGCTTACAATTACTAAAAAGTAAAAAAAGTAATGCCGTTTTCTTGCTTTCTTATAATTATGGCCGCCTTAAATTGTTCTTGTTTTTACCTAAAAGATATGAAAACTTAATTATTTTATAGTAGAATTTGCGGGTCGTTCACTCACTTTTAAAAATTCTCTGAATGAAATCGAAGGGAAAATTGAAACATTCAGTCCAAACTAGGTATACATTCTTTCCAGTTTTTTCTTTAGCTTTGTTAGTTTTTTAAAGTGTATAGAGTATAAAAATTAATGCATGATCTGAGATACTTACCATACAATATAAATAACTTTCATTTATTTATGACACGGAAACTTGCAACTAGTTTCAAAGGCGATCATTATTTTGCGGTAAGAGAGAAGTGGTCTTAAAAGTGTGACTTGTCTTTTAGAGATCGAGTGACTTGTCTTTAGAGACCTCAGCGATGAAATACGTATACTACTCTTTTCTGCAATAATTTCTGCTTACTATAGAGGAATACATCTACAATTTTAACAGGTGGGTGATTGGTTTACGATAGGATTGTTATCACTGATCATGTCTCGAAATATAGCATCTGAATCTGATTTTGCAATATTTTGCATTTGCAATGCTCTTAAACTAAGTTTAAATGTCGATAATGGCTAGGCAAGAAAGGAACGTTCACCATGCCCCGTGCCTGCTATACTAATAAAGGATACAAATGAAAACATTTTATTTATTTAAAACTATTGTCATAATTTACGGCAGAACATTAAACAAAATTCCAATTTTTTTTTTCTTTTTTTTTCCATTTACTTTTTTCCGCTTAATTTGTAAAACAATTTTTTATATTCAAGTTAACGTGTAATAAAAATAATTATACGGAACGAAACGAAAATGAGTAAGAGAATGGAAACAAGAATAATGCTCTTATAAAATGTCCATGCCAAACTAATTATACTAGAACGGAACGCAAACAACAACACGGTTTCTTTCTCGAATGCTTTGCAAACTTTTGTAAGTATTTAGTAACTCAATTTTTTTTTTAAACAAATGCTTACCGTAAAATATATCTTAACCTTTCGTTGCCTAGCGTAATAAATTTATGTTTAATTATTGACGCGTTTGCCGTTAGAAACCATTTAAATGAAAGTAAGTCTAACAAAAAATTTGCGTCAAAATTGAATTTAATACTGATGCCGCGGACCGTATTTTGCAAAATCTATTTCAATTTTTCAGTTAATATGATTTAAAATTATCGGTAAATCATAAAAATTTTGAGTCACACAAAGGAATTAAATTTTTAATCTCAATCTTCGCGAAATAAAGAATCCCAACGATTGCAAAGCTATTTTGATAGCAAAACTCAATTTAGCAATGACGTAATAATGATTAGCGCTGAGACCGCCGTAAAAAAAAGATGAAAAAATTTTACAATGCATTAAGCAATGATCAGCGATTACTCACTACAAAAATGATTTAAAATTCCAAAACACTACTTTTCAAATTATATGGTAATTGCATCGAATTGGCAAACGTTCGTAACGCGTAGAAACACGCATCGGGGCCCCGTTGCGATATATATATTCATGACTACCGTAAATAACGGCATAAATTAGTTCTGGTTGTTTCAAATCATTTATCTAGGAGACCAGACTTATAATTGCGTTCGGAAAGAAGGAAAGAGACGAACACTCCTTAGGCCAATAAACACTTTTTTTCTTGTTTCTAGTTTGCCTAACTTAACAACTTCGCTGCACAACAATATTTATTGAATGTTTGTTTTACTGTGACTATTACCTCGGAATAATGAAACCTCTAACAAGGGAGCACACTGTTCCCTCTTATGACCGGTAATTGAACACAACACATATGCCCTTTAATTTGGATAAATAATTCTTGTACTTCATACTAAGTTCAGACAAAAAGTTAGTCCAAATTTTGGCTAAAACCAAATGTTAAAAGAAATACGATTGCAATGATTTATATGTATTAGATATAATATATATGTATATGACACGATATAAAATCGATAATTCAAATGCGCGCTCTATTTTGCATTAAGCTAGCAATTGATGTTTAAAAAATCAGCCCGAAAGCACTTCAAACCCTTTTTATATCCGATTTTTATATAAAATTCATTTCATCATTCGACATAAAATCCCTTCACTTCCGTCTTAATTGATATTGTTCTTGCGAAAAAGGGAAAGAAAAGTGAATAAAGTTTCGAGTTTAGATGAAGGTCTTCTCTTTAAATCATTTACTGGAAAAGGAAAACATTGTATTTGTATGAAAAAGCTAGACTGAGAGAAGCGTGAAACTGTTCCAGCTACTGGCACTGGCCAAATTGTGCATTGCACTTTTATTTTCATTTTACATTTCCGATCAAAATTTACACAAAATCGCAGAAAATTAAAACAAACAAAAAAAAAAAACAAAAATTTCTAATGAAGAAATAAAAACCGAAAATTGCAAACGAATTGAAAAAAAAAAAATTAATAAAAAAAATAATAATTATAATTACTAATCATACCCATGGAAAGGTTTGTGCGCTTATAATGTACGTATATGTATATGAGCGTATGAGTGTATGAGTGTATGAGTGCATACAGTTTGCGTACAAATGAAATGAATCATCATAAATGCCAACAAATTTGTATCGCAAACAATTTATAAACAATTTTATTCCTTATAAGAAAATCATAATAGAAAGAAGCGAAGTGCCCTCATTAGACGAAAAACGTGTTAAGCACATAGATGCCTAGTGTTTTGATATGAGATTTGCAAGCTTTTAAAGCCAACCTATTATTAATGTAACATACGACTCTGCCGACATTTGTACATTATTTCTTTGAAAACCTACCGTGATGACTTAATCAAATTGAAAAAATATGTTTTGTACGCGCATTTGGCGTAATTATAGACGAGACACTAGTACTCAATAATGAAATAGAGAACAAAAAATGAAATAAAATAAATAAAGAAGGAAATGCACGGCAAGTAAGGAGAGTATTATCATCTTAGAGCGAATTTTGAACACCCACCACTTGGATAACCACTATATCCACAACACACGCAGGCGTCAATTTTCTTAATGACTACCTGTAGGGGATTTATTTGGAACCGTCTAAACTATGTAAAAAATTAGAAAAAAGAAAAAAAACTTTATTGGAATTTGTAGAGTTTTAAAATAATTTCAGTCTTATTGTCATTGCAGACGAATCACGTTTTTCTATCGAATTCAAAAGCCAGCTTCAATTTTTTTTTATTACAATATCTACAAGAGAGATTTTCAAAAATTGACAATAAGCGAACAGTCGGCGAATATATGATCGTGGCTACGTCGAATTTTTTTAACTTTATAACACCTTCGCCACGTATATATAAAATGATGAAGCTAGTATATCTTCAACATGTTGAAGTGAACTGAAAATATGGATTTAGACATTTGGTTGGTTGCTTGCAAGGCATACGAATTCATAGTCGGGACGATTATATTATACATGTTAATAACAAAGCAACTAATAAATATTAAATGATAAAAATAATAATGATAAGGAAAAAAAAAAAGAAAAGGAAAATGTGTTTTTAAAATATTTAATAATTAAGTAAGTAAAAAGAGAAATATAATATTATTAAGATATTTGCTTCAATGTTAGATATGGATGATACATTTTGAAGGTGTTGTTGTGTGGATAGTGTGGGGTGTCATAAGGAAATGCACACTTACCACCAATATCCATTCCACATACAAGATTTTCTGCTACGAAGGAATAAATGTTGAAGCTTTTTATTTAGCGGATGAAAAGTCAAATGATGACTCTTCACTCCTCTACAGTTTTTGCTTTAAAGAAAGAGAACCCTTTTTGTGGGTGTATAATAGAGTATTGTTAACTGATGAAAATTCACAGATTAAATAATTTTTTTTTTATATCTTTTTACAATTTCCTTCCAATGTAATCACTTTAACAATAGTTTTTCACGTTTTCAGTTCT